TAAAAAAAATATTTATTATAAAATTAAAAAAAAAATTGAGAAAAAAAATGAAAAGAGAAAATATATTTATACGAAATTAAATGAATATATCGATAAATCGATAGATCGATCGATCGATCGATCGAACAATCCATCGTTGGGTCGATGGATGACGATCGATCGATCGATCGTATATAAATAAAAAAAAAAAATTACAATTATTATTATTTTTAAAATTGCTGTTGTGTTATGATAAAAATATGATTTATTATTTTTATTATTATTTTGATTGATTGATTATTGGTGATATTTGATAATTATTTATAATAAAATTACTATTATTATTATTTCTTAAATATTATTATTAAAAAAAAAAAAGTCAAATAAATAATTTTGAAAAAAAAATAATAATTTTTGGTCGTGAAAAAAAAAAAAAAAAATTATTTTGCTACTGGAAACATCCAGCGAGTTTTCCGTTTGCTTTTTTTTTTTTACGTCGAAATAATAATAATAATAATGAATGACATCGGAAATAATAACGTCGAATGACATCGTGGAAAATTCGAGAGGGAGGGTGATGGGGGGTTTTTTTTTTTTTTTTGGCAAATGTTAGGCAATTGTTCATGTTTCGAATTGTAACTTTTCATCACCGGAAACGATTTTATTTATTTATTTATTTGGTCGCGTACACTTTGTGTTATTTATTTTTCTTTTTCCTTTTTTTTTTTTAATCAAAACACGAAGAAAAGTATTGAAAATCATTTTTCATTTTTCACTTTTCATTTTTTTTTTTTTTTATATTTTGACATTTTCATCAATCTCATGACGAATTGAATAAAAAAAAAAAAAAAAAATTCGTGGAAAAATACAATCGAACCGTGATTTATTATTATTATTATTATTATTATTATTATATATTTTCACTCGTAATCATTATCATTATTATACGAAGTATTCAATGAAACGAAAAAAGAAAAAAAAAAAATTGAATTAAATTAAATTATTTTTATAATAAGAGAATGAATGAAAAACTCGCTGAAATGTGAAAAGTTAGCAGGATTCCATTAAAAATCTTTCATATCGAATCGGCCTGCAATATTAATAATAATGAACGTTATTAATGTTATTAATAATTAATGACGTTTTAATTTAATAATATACGAATACATACGAGAAAGAGAACGCGCGCGCGCACACACACACACACACACACACACACACCAAACACACACGCATAAAATTTTCTAAAGTCGAAATAAATATTCTAAAAATATAAGTAAGATTATCAATAGAAAACGGCGCAAAAAACGCATGAAGCTTTTATTTATTTATTTATTTTATTTAAAAACTACATAATAATAATATTTACTACTATATATATCAATCACATTATTAGATTTTAGTTTTATTATTATTATTATTTATTTATTTATTTATTTATTTTGTTTATTGATATCTTGATAAGTTTGCGACTTTTTCATTTATTTTATTTTATTTTTTTAAATTTCATTTACTTATTTATTTATTAATATATATTAATAATAATAATATTTCTTAGAATCTATTAGAAAAAAAAAATTTTTGTTTTTTATTTATTTTATTTTATTTATTATTAAAATAATTTTATTTATTTTTTTCTTTTTATTAATTTTTATTTTAAATT